TCGTAAGGAACTTCTCCACCATCGCTGCGCCCCTTCGCAGATTGCTGAGAAAAGAGACAATCTGGAAGTGGGACAAGGACTGCACGTCCGCCATGAAGAAGCTAAAGCAGGCGTTGATAGAGTATCCGGTCCTTAAGGTCGCCGATCCGTCCTTGCCTTTTGTTGTTACTACGGATGCTAGCCAGTACGACATAGGCGCAGTGTTACAGCAAGACGATGGCAATGCCTATCGACCCGTAGAGTTCATGTCCGCTAGGATGCCTTCAGAGAAGGTTGCGACATCTACCTATGAGAGGGAACTCTACGCTCTCAGGCAAGCATTAGACCACTGGAAGCACTACTTGCTTGGGAGGCACTTCAAAGTCTATTCGGACCATGAAATGTTACAGTGGTTAAAGACCCAGGCCAAGATGACACCTAAGCTTACTAGGTGGGCCGCCGAGATAGATCAGTACGACTTCGAGCTCAAGCCTGTCAAAGGGAAGTACAACGTAGTCGCGGATGCTCTGAGTAGGAGAGCAGATTACTTTGGGGCAATAGTACATTACCATGATATAGGAAAGGATCTGCAGCAGAAGGTTAGAGAAGCCTACGCGCAGGACCCTATCTATAATGAGCTGCTCACGCGAGTCAAGGAGGCCCCAAAGACCGAGCCGAACTACCGCACTACTGGAGGGTTACTCTTCGAGAAGACTAGTGTCTTTGACCGGTTGTGCATCCCCAATAGCGAAGAGATCTGTAGTCTGATTATGGGGGAATGTCACGACACAGAGGGTCATTTTGGTTGGCAAAAGACTTTGGCCAATCTGATGCGCGCGTATACCTGGCCAGGGATGAAGAATGACTGCGTAGAGTATGTTTGCAGTTGCAAAGTCTGCCAGCGTAATAAGAGTTCTACGCGCGCACCGCTAGGTCTTCTCAGACCCTTGCCCATTCCGGATCAGCCGGGAGACTCAGTGTCAATAGATTTCATGCACACTTAAGTCAAGAGCAGGCATGGCAAGAGCCAAGTCATGGTCATAGTTGACTGCTTTAGCAAGTATGCAGTTTTTGTTCCTTTGCCTTCTGAGGCGCGTACTGATTTAGTCATACAGAGGTTCTTTGACTGTTGGGTTAGTGAGAACGGAATTCCGCTCTCTATAGTTAGCAATAGAGATAGTCGCTTTACTAGCCAGAACTGGCAAGAACTCATGGGAGTATACGGATCTAAGTTGTTGATGTTGTCCGACCGCCATCCAGAGACTAACGGTCAGACAGAGCAAATGAACAAGATCCTACAGCAAGTTCTGCGCATGTATATTAGGCCAGATCAGATTAACTGGGATGAGATGTTGCCTAAAGTAGCTAGTGCGTACAATAACAGCGTGCATCTAGCCACCTGCCGCACTCCCAACAAACTGCACAAGTCCTTTAGACCGCGTAGACCGTTTGAGGGACTCGACCGGGATCAGATTTAGAGATTGCCGCCCGGGACCCGGAAGTTCGTTGTACAGCACGATAAAGAACTAGCTATTGTTGTAGAAAACCTCTGGAAAGCCCAGCATAGGATGATAGAACAAGCAAACAAACATCGTCGCCCTTCACAGTTTCAAGTAGGCGACTTAGTCTGGGTTAGTTCGAAAGAGTTTGCACCTGAGGAGAACATCTCGCAAAAGTTACTGCCCACATATAGAGGACCGTGGCCTGTTCTTGAAGTCAAGGGCGGTGAAGATGGACCGTCCTATACAATAGAACTACCAGCACACCTCCACACGTATCCAGTTTTCCACGCATCGAAGTTGCTACCTTGTCAAACAAGTGATCAGTTTCCATCCCGTAGATCAATGATCCCACCTGATATGGATGGAAGGTATAGACGGTATAGTGGCTGAGGATGTCTTCAAAACCGGAGGTAGGGGTCGTCCGCAAAAACAGTACAAGGTTCATTTTAGTTATCAAGAACCGGAAGACGACCGTTGGTTTACAAGATCTGAACTTCTAGAGACAACTCCCGATATAGTCCGGGCCTATGAAAGACAGCAGAAGGGTAAAGGTCCTGCCTTGGACTGAAATTTTCTCGGAGGACCTCGAATTTAGGCCGGCGGGAGTGAAACGGTATTCACCAGTTCGCAGTAGCAAATGCAGATCCCAGGGCTCGATCCCTAGTTCCCCATCTTACCTGTGTACAGTATTGATGACAACCCGTAGATTTGAACCTGCAACCTGTCGAAACGCCAGTGGTAGGTAGGTTGTCGTAGGTCACAGCTTAGAAAGGAATCCAACTGTAGACCTGTAGGGTAGGAGTCTAGACAGTTCCGAAGTCGTAGCTGTAGGATATCTGAAGGGTCAAGGTCGTAGCTGCTACTTACCTGAAAGGGCAAAGTCGTAGCTGCTACAGTACCGAAAGGCCAAAGTAGAAGTTTCTAGAACTGGCCTTTCGGAG